CGCGGATGTCCTCGCGGCTCGCGATGCGTGATGCCCGGGGGGGGGGCAGCGCGAGGGCGCCCTGCGCAGCGCGGCGCGCCCCCTCACAGCTTCCCTTGCCGGGAGGCCTTCTCAGACCCGGCAAAGCAACCTAACAGCGATGTGTAGGAGCATATCTGGAAGCATTCCCCTTAAGATTCAGATAAGAATCCTGTTGTAGAATTCTGCTGTTCTCGCAGTCGTGGTCGCATTCGCGATGGCAGTCGCAGTGGCAACAGCAGTCGCCGTCACAGCCTCAGCCTCAGCCTCAGCCTGCCTCAGCCTCAGCCTCAGCCTGCCTCAGCCTCAGCCTGCCTCAGCCTCGCCCTCAGCCTGCTTCAGCCTCAACATCAGTCTGCCTTCAGCCTCGGCCTCAGCCTGCCTCAGCCTCACCCTCAGCCTGCATCAGCCTCAGCCTGCCTCAGCCTCGCCCTCAGCCTGCTTCAGCCTCAACATCAGTCTGCCTTCAGCCTCGGCCTCAGCCTGCCTCAGCCTCACCCTGCATCAGCCTCAGCCTCAGCCTCAGCCTGCCTCAGCATCAGCCTGCCTCAGCCTCAGCCTCAGCCTGCCTCTGCCTCAGCCTCAGCCTGCTTCAGCCTCAGCCTCAGTCTGCCGTCGGCCTCGGCCTCAGCCTCAGCCTGCCTCAGCCTCAGCCTGCATCAGCCTCAGCCTCAGCCACAGCCTGCCTCAGCATCAGCCTGCCTCAGCCTCAGCCTCAGCCTGCCTCAGCCTCAGCCTCAGCCTGCTTCAGCCTCAGCCTCAGTCTGCCTTCAGCCTCGGCCTCAGCCTCAGCCTGCCTCAGCCTCAGCCTGCTCAGCCTCAGCCTCAGCCTCAGCCTGCCTCAGCCTCAAACTGCCTCAGCCTCAGCCTCAGCCTGCCTCAGCCTCAGCCTCAGCCTGCTTCAGCCTCAGCCTCAGTCTGCCTTCAGCCTCGGCCTCAGCCTCAGCCTGCCGCAGCCTCAGCCTGCATCAGCTTCAGCCTCAGCCTGCCTCAGCATCAGCCTGCCTCAGCCTCAGCCTCAGCCTGCCTCAGCCTCAGCCTCAGCCTGCTTCAGCCTCAGCCTCAGTCTGCCGTCAGCCTCGGCCTCAGCCTCAGCCTGCCTCAGCCTCAGCCTGCCTCAGCCTCAGCCTCAGCCTCAGCCTGCCTCAGCATCATCCTGCCTCAGCCTCAGCCTCAGCCTCAGCCTGCCTCAGCCTCAGCCTCAGCCTGCTTCAGCCTCAGCCTCAGTCTGCCTTCAGCCTCGGCCTCAGCCTCAGCCTGCCTCAGCCTCAGCCTGCATCAGCCTCAGCCTCAGCCTCAGCCTGCCTCAGCCTCAGCCTGCCTCAGCCTCAGCCTCAGCCTGCCTCAGCCTCAGCCTCAGCCTGCTTCAGCCTCAGCCTCAGTCTGCCTTCAGCCTCGGCCTCAGCCTCGCCTGCCTCAGCCTCAGCCTGCATCAGCCTCAGCCTCAGCCTCAGCCTGCATCAGCCTCAGCCTCAGCCTCAGCCTGCCTCAGCCTCAGCCTCAGCCTCAGCCTTCAGCCTCAGCCTCAGCCTTCAGCCTCGGCCTCAGCCTCAGGCTGCCTCAGCCTCAGCCTGCATCAGCCTCAGCCTCAGCCTCAGCCTGCCTCAGCATCAGCCTGCCTCAGCCTCAGCCTCAGCCTGCCTCAGCCTCAGCCTCAGCCTGCTTCAGCCTCAGCCTCAGTCTGCCTTCAGCCTCGTCCTCAGCTTCAGTCTGCCTTCAGCCTCAGCCTGCCTCAGCCTCAGCATCAGACTGCCTCAGCATTCAAAGTGTGGCCCGGGAATGGAGTTCTGGGAACTCGAAGAACACGAAATGGCCTACAGTTGGCTCCGGGCATTCAAAATCATGCCCAGGAATGGAGTTCTGGGAACTCGAACACCACGAAGTGGCCTACAGTTGGCTCCGGGCATTCAAAATCATGCCCAGGAATGGAGTTCTGGGAACTCGAAGACCACGAAGTGGCCTACAGTTGGCTCCAGGCATTCAAAATGTGGCCCGGGAATGGAGTTCTGGGAACTCGAAGAGCACGAAGTGGCCTACAGTTGGCTCCGGGCATTCAGAATGTGGCCCGGGATTGGAGTTCTGGGAGATCGAAAAGCACGAAGTGTGTGACTGTTTGCGAAAAACGATCCCCCCGGCAAACCCCAACGGCCCCCCAACGGCCCCCCAACGGCTCCCCAACGGCTGCCCAGACCCCCCTGTGGAGTAATGTGCTGCTCTCTTTTTACACCACTAGAAACCTATCAGTCTTCGCTGTTAGGTAAAAAACTGCGAACGAGCGCCAGTCGCGAGTTTCAAAATCGCGACTGGCGCCTGTTCGCAGTTGTTTTTTTTGCCTCTCGGTGGCCTTCGCCGGGCCCCGGGCCCACGACAACATGACCCAGGACGGACAGCTGGTCCTGGATGAGCGGTCCAGACGTCTGAGGGCCCACGTCCTGAAAGCAGTCATGAGGTTGGGGACTGGGGAGGGCCTTCGGAGGGCCTCCAGAGGGCCTCCGCAGGCCCCTTGGAGGCCCTCGGAGGCATCCGACGATAGGCTTTGTTCAATCCGGGCGTGTTTCTTGGCCCAGCCCTGGGACCATCACAATCGGACCTCGGACGAAAGACTACCCCCCAGGGAAGGGGTCGGGAGCTCTGTGGCGGCGGGTCTTCACAGAATAGATCGTCGGATGTCAGGAGTGCTTGTCCTCCTCCACCTTCTCCTCGTCCTTGTGCTTGTCCTCCTACTCGTTGTCCTCCTGCTCCCTCGCGGCCCTCCCTGTCATCCACGCTGTAATCCTCGTCATGCGCCGCGTTGTCGTCGCCATCGTCCTTCTTTTCTCCCCCCTACGAGTCCAATTGACAACATTGGTGCTCCCTCATGTCCGATCACGTTTCAAGAGTCCGACCGTCGGATGTCTGAAGGACCTCCCGAGGGCCTCTGGAGGCACCGGGAGGCCTCCGCGAAGGGCTCTCGGGAGCCTTCGGAGGGCCGAAGCCCTTCGATGAGGACCTCGGAGGGATCTCCGAGGGCCTCCGAAGGGCTTAAGGGCGGCGGGGGAGGAGGAGGAGGAGGAGGAGGAGGAGAAAGAGGAGGAGGAGTAGGAGGAGGGGGAGGAACACGACGACGACGCAGCGGCAGACAAGAGTGCCGGCGCCGCTTGCCGCGCGGCGAGGTCGCCGTCGTCCTCGTGGTCGTCGTCGTGGTCGTCGTCGTCGTCGTCGTCGTTGTTGTCGTCGTCGTCGATTCGGACGTTTTGAGCATATTAAGGCGCTCCCGCCTCCTCGGTTGGACGCAGTTCGCAAAGTTGTGCCAGGATGCGCGCCGTGGAGGTCTCCCCGCAGGGAGCCCAGCGCCCCGGGGACGTGTCCCCTGGCGCCCCGTTGTTGCGCTGATCCGAGCTCCGTGGGGTCCCTCGGGCTCGTCGGGATCCCCGCATGGAGTTGGACTGCGTTGATCGTGGTAGGTCTTGCGCCTGTGCGCCGCGTCGTGGTTCGTAATGATCCATGTCGCATTGCTTCATGCTGTCCAGAAACTAGTGTACGTCGCTCCTCGAGATCACGGCCTGCTCGAGAAATGTCTCAGAGCGGGAGGGGGATGAGCAGAAGGAGGAGGAGGAGGAGGAGGAGGAGGAGGAGTATGAGGAGAAGGAAATTGATGACGATGATGATGGTGATGATGAGGAGGATGATGATGGTGAGGATGATGTTGTTGATGAGGATGATGAGAACGGTGTTGATGTTAATGATGATGAGGACGATTGACGATTACGATGCTGCTGATGACGATGGCGATGATGACGATGATGATGATGATGATGATGATGATGATGATGACGATGACGATGATGGTGATGGTGATGGTGATGGTGATGGTGATGGTGGTGATGAGGAAGGGTTTGATGCTGATGATGGTGATGCTGATGATAATGGTGATGGAGATGCTGATGGTGGCGGCGATGAGGATGATGATGTTGATGACGTGGATGATTGATAGTGATGGTGGTGATTGTGATGATCATGATGATGGTGGTGGCTGTGGTGATACAGATGATACTGATGTGTGTGGTAATGATTGAGATGGTGATGATGTTGATGACGATGGTTATGTTGATGACGGTGGTTGTGATGGTGATCCTGGTTATCAAGATGAGGATGCGGATGATTATGACCCGGTGATGATGATGGTGGTGACCATACTACTAATGATGTTGCTGCTGATGATGATGACGGCGATGATGTCCTTCTCGTTGATGATGGGGTTTATGAAAGTTGCACGATGGCGGATCTGGAGATGATGATGATGATGATGATGATGATGATGATGATGATGATGATGATGATGATGATGATGTTGATGATGATCATGATGATGGTGGTGCTGATGAGGGCGGTGATGATGTTGATGATGAGGAGGAGGAAGAGGATGAGGAGGACAGGATACTGGTATCCTCCCTCTCATCCTCCTCCTCGGAAAACCGAAACGATCCACAGCGGCGTCCGTGGGCCGCGCCACCGCGTAGTCGGCGCGCCCCCGCGGCGTGCCACGGGCGCGGCGGCTGAAGGGAACGCTGCGGAGGGCTGCGAAAGGGAAGAGGAGGAGGAGTGGGAGGAGGAGGAGGAGGAGGAGGAGGAGGAGGAGGAGGAGGAGGAGGAGGAGGAGGAGCGGAGGAGGAGGAGGAGGAGGAGGAGGAGGAGGCGGACGAGGACGAGGACGAGGAGGAGGAGGAGGAGGAGGAGGAGCAGTGGGAGAAGAAGAGCGAGGATGAGGAGGAGGAAGAGGAGGAGGAGGAGGAGCGCGCGACCCTGACGCACACCCCGGCCCAGGTGGCAACGAGGAAGGAGGGACGGGGCAGGAGGAGGAGGAGGCAGCAGGAGGAGGAGGCTGGCAGGAGCTCCCAGGAAAAAGAACAGGAGCCGGGTGGCTGGTTTGGGGGGGGGCGAAGGAGGCCAGCGGGGCCGCGCCGTTCCGAGGGGAGGGCTCCCCTACCCCCCCCTGCTCTCAGGGACGCGGTCGAGGCGCCGGGCCCCACGGGCAGGAGGAAGCTGCTGCCGCCGCTCCTCTCGCGCGGCAGTTTCCAGAGCAGCCCGGGGCGCGCCGGCAGTTTCGCCCCCGGCGCGGCGGCGGGCACGGGCAGGCGGGCACGGGCTGGGCACGATGGAGACTCGGACTCGAGCAGGGGGTCGACCACAGATCGGCACGAACGAAATGGGCACGGAAAGAATGGGTACAGACGGGGCCCTGAAGAAGGAACCCTTTTCGTTGGGGAGGGGCTCCGCGTTCCTTAAGTGTTTCGCAGCTTGCCTCAGGTTTTCCTTATGTTTTCGATCGGAAATCGAAGTTTAACTTATGGAAAAAAAGGGGCCTCGTTCCTTATTTAGGGTTCCTTAGGTCAACGCCCCGACTGTACGACGCCCAACTGCAGTTCTTGTTCATTGTGAACAGGGCTCGCTGTCCGCGCCGCCGCGGCCCGTGTCTGTTTGAGGCAGAGGGCCGCCTGCCCAACAGCGGCCGCTGTCGGTTTTGGGCAATATTTGTTGTTGGGCATTGTACCAATTTTTTCCGTGCCTTTTCCGGGTGTTCAAAACAGAATTGATGAACCCCAGAATTGATTTGTTCGTCTTATCTGGGACAACAGACGTATACCGTCGGGGAGACGTTAAGACTCGAGTAAGCCGGAACGCAGGTTTGCCGAAGTTTTTTGACGAGCGTTTCCTGGATTTTGACGGTCCCGTTTTCGTGGGATGTCTGCAGCGGGAGCCCGCGTAAAATTTCAGATTGGGTCTCGTCATTCCCCAATCAGAGCTTGCCTCTGTAGGGGTCCGAGCGGATTCATATGGTTAGGTTAGGCTCGCCGCCGATTTTCGCGGCACGCCCGGGTGCCTGGGTGCCCGCGGGTGCCCGCGGGTGCCCGCGGGTGCCCGGGTGCCCGGGCGTGCCCGGGGGTGCCCGGGGGTGCCTGGGGGTGCCCGGGGATGCCCTATAGCCCAATAGCCCTATAGCCCAATAGCCCTACAACTCTATAGCCCTATAGCTCTATAGCCCTATAGCTCAATAGCCCTATAGCCCTATAGCCCCCTAGCCCTATAGCCCTGATTGGGGTTTTTCTCCGGTATCATTTTCATGATGGCCCCCGTCAGGCCAACCCGAGTCCCCCGTACCCCAGTTACGTCTCCCCGATATTGTTCTCAGATCTGCGAACTTTGTACGCATTTCTGGAAGTGCCGACACAATATCCAAGATCTGCGTCAATCAATAATGTAGTCGATTCCCTATTCGAAAATGGGTACGGAAAGAGTGGGTACGACAACCGACGACAGTTGTTGATCATCTTGAGCAGGGCTCGCTGTCTGTGTGCCCGCGGGTGTAGCACTGTAGGGCCACATGGGGGCCCAGGGCCCCGGCGCCTTGGGTACCAGGTGGTACGCTGGCGTTGGAATCCGCAGGGGCACAAGGGCCCGCTCCTGAGCAGAAACAGATCGGCGCTCTGCGGCAAGCTGCTGTCGCATTCGCGCTCGCGTCGTGGAGGCGTCACGGCATGAGGTTCTTGGCCGTTTTCAAGCTTCGGAGGCCCTTGCCGGGCCCCGGGGGCGTCAAGCAACGACTCGAGACGCAAAGCCAGCCAGCCCTGAGGAAAGGGTCGGGACTTCCGCGGACCCCGCCTGGAAGAGGACCAGGCATCGCATGTCTGGGAGCAAGGTGCCGTGACTGGGGAGGCCCATGGTGGCCAGGGGCCCTTAGGGGGGGCCAGGGCCTGTCAGCTCGGAGTGCAGCGAGCTCTCTGGGTGGCGCGGAGTTTTTTTTTGGGGGTACGGACAAGGGAAATCAGCAGGCCACGGTTGCAGGCAAGAGACATCAACAGGCCACGACCCCACGGCCCCCACCCCCACGCAGCGCTGGCCCCCCTTGCCCCCCCGCCCCAAATGCAACACAATAAGCAGGGATGATAACACGAGGCGTAATGATAATCAGTGAGTCGACCTGGATCCATTCGCTTTCTGGCGCGTGGGCGGGACAATTTGAACCTGGCATTCGCAAACATTGCGCTTGCTAAACGGTAAGCAGAGCAGTGGGAGGGAGATTGGGAGGGGAGAGAACACACTGTAACACCCTAGCGGCCAGGGACGAGTCGAAAACAGATCTTGGTCATGCCTACTCGTCGTCTGCACTTTCATCCAGGCTTCGAGTGAAATGTTGCATGGACGCTTCCCGTGCCTTAGTGTCTCGTACGCGTGCCGTAATGGTGTCGTCTGAAAGGAAGTCTTCCGCTATGCTGTTGTGCACGCACGGGGCCTTTGGCCCGTCCCTTGTTGGGCTCCCTCCCTAACCCTGCTGGGGCCAGGCCGTGGTGGCGCGGCCGCGAACACCCCGAGGCGTGAGCCTCTGAGAAACATAACGGGCAGAGGCTTCTCCAATGTACCCGCAACAGAGAAGTCGGTGTCTCAACCTTCTGCAGTGTTTGGCCTGATTTGTCTAGAATCGTTTTGGTGGAGACATCGGTGACATCTTATTGGCGGGATACGTTGCGCTCGGTGGAAGCATGTGGTCTGGAAACCGTCCAATGGCCTGCGCTCCGCCAATTGTTCGACAAAGCCGTCCTGAAGGAGTACAGGATTGCTACTCTGATTACCGACTGAAGCACCTGATTTATTTGCTCGCGTGCACGGATAGATGCTTCCACGCCCAGGCATGTTTGTAGAACGCTTTCTAGGGGCCTAGGCGGCACCCAATTGTTGATTCCACTGGCTGCTGCACACGGTTGCGCCAAGATGTTCCGATGTATTTTCACTAGGATCAGTTTACCACCAGGAGTTGTTTGAAACCATCGTCACATACTAGATCTGCATCAGCTAGAATTGAACTGGGGTCTGTCCCAGCACGGCCTCCAGCCAGAGAAACCGCATTGCATAGCCAGCGTAGGTGCTCTTACGAGCGATCCGGGTCGTTCGCTGCATGTGTACACCACACCGAAATGATCCAGTATCGATTCCTCATGTAGCGCCAAGACCCAAGCTGTCTCATCACCACAGTGCACTCGTCTGCGAGCCCAGATTGTTTTCGTCGCTGTCAAGATGCCTTGTGCTGGTGGTCTGCTACGTAGAGGTGTCGGTCGGCGTAGATACTGCTGATGGGTGAATGTGTTCTGTGTGGACGTCCAACCTCTGCAGCGACAGGAGCACCGGGTCCACCGTGATTCAATCAAGCGAACAGTTCTGGTCAAGCGCAAGAAGAGAGCGACCGCCCCGTTCAGTGCTTCAGTGGCCAATGCGTATCTCCCGCGTACAGTATGAACCACATTGGCCATCCCTCTGACACGGCGGACAGGAGAAGGTACATGTTATAAGCGCACCAAGGTCTGATTAACCTGCACCAGCCACCACGTGTATGACTTGAGTGTGTTCGCGGGAGCGGAAGACCGTCACTCCGATGGTATCTACATGGTCTCAAGTCAGTCTCACCATTTCTCCATCATTCTTCTCTTTAGCCAAAGAGAGTGGCCATTCTCGCCCATCATCAGGTGGCCGATCTTGTTTGATAGTTTTTTCCCCACATGCTTCGTGGGGTTATGGTTTTCTTCCCTTCCGCGTCTCACCCGCGTCTCCTCCTTTTCCTCACTCTCCTTCTCTTTCTTCCCCACATGTTTCGTTGGGTTCTGGTTCCCCACATGTTTGTGGGGTTCTGGTTTTCTTCCCTGCCGCGTCGCACCCGCGTCTCATCTCACACACCCCCTCCTCCTCACAGCACTGCTCCGCACAGCTTGGTCTCTCACCGCGGCGTCTATGCGTGCCAGGGTCGGAGAGCGTGGCAGGCGTGGCACTTTCTCGACAGCAGGGGGGGTGCGTAGGGGGTGGTCTCTCACCGCGGCCCCTATCCGTGCCAGGGTCGGAGAGCGTGGCAGGCGTGGCACTTTTTCGACACCAGAGAGGGTGCGCAGGGGGTGGTCTCTCACCGCGGCGTCTATGCGTGCCAGGGTCGGAGAGCGTGGCAGGCGTGGCACTTTCTCGACACTCAGGGGGGGTGCGCAGGGGTGGTCTCCTCACCGCGGCGTACTATGCGTGCCTAGGTCGGAGAGCGTGGGGGCAAGCGTGGCAACCTTTTCCCGACACCAGTGAGGGTGCGCAGGGGGTGTCTCTCACCTCGGCCTCTTATGGGCGTGCCAGGGTCGGAGAGCGTGGCAGGCGTGGCACTTTTCTCGACAACTCCATCCCCGAGAGGGTGCGGCAGGGGGTGGTCTCTCACCGCGCGTCTATGCGTGCCGAGTCGGAGAGCGTGGCAGGCGTGGCACTTTCGCCGACAACATAGAGGGTGCGCATGGGGTGTTCTCTCACCGCGGGGTCTAAATGCGTGCCAGGGTCGGAAAGCGTGGGCAGGCTTGGCAACTGCGTGCCAGGGTCGGATAGCGTGGGCAGCGTGGCACTTTCTCGACACCAGAGAGGGTGCGCAGGGGGTGGTCCCTCAGCGCGGCCTCTACGCACGACGGTCGTCCAGGCACAGCAGGCGTGGCACTTTCTCGACACCAGAGGGGGTGCGCAGGGGGTGGTCCCTGAGCTCGCCGCTATGCACGACGGTCGTCCAGGCATAGCAGGCGTGGCACTTTCTCGACACCACAGGGGGGGCGCAGGGGGTGGTCTCTCAGTTCGGCCGCTATCCACGACACTGGCGCAAAGCCTAGCAGGCGTGGCACTTTCTCGACACCACACGAGGTGCGCAGGGGGTGGTCTCTCAGCTCGGCCGCTATCCACGACACTGGCGCAAAGCCTAGCAGGCGTGGCACTTTCTCGACACCACAGGGGGTGCGCAGGGGGTGGTCTCTCAGCTCGGCCGCTATCCACGACACTGGCGCAAAGCCTAGCAGGCGTGGCACTCTCTCGACACCAAAGGGGGTGCGCAGGGGGTGGTCTCTCAGCTCGGCCGTCTTAGCTGCCAGGGTTCGGAGAGCGTGGCAGGCGTTGCACTTTTCTCGGACAACAAGGGGGGTGCGCAGGGGGTGGTCTCTCACCGCGGCGTCGATGCGTGCCAGGGTCGGAAGAGCGGGGCAGGCGTGGCGCTTTCTCGACACCAGAGGGGGTGCGCAGTGGGTGGTCTCTCAATCGCGGCGTCTATGCGTTGCCAGGGTCCGGAGCAGCTTGGCAGGCGGTGGGCACTTTCTGACGCAGGGGGGGTGCGCATGGGGTGTCCTCACGCGGCGTCTATGCGTGCAGGGTCGGAGAGCGTGTGGCAGATACCACTTTCTACGACAGCAGTGGAGGTGCGCAGGGGGTGGTCTCTCACCGCGGCTCCTATGCGTTCCAGGGTCGGAGAGCGTGGCAGGCGTGCACTTTCTCGGCACCAGGGAGGGTGCGCAACGGGTTGTTCTCTCACCGCGGCCCCTATGCGTGCCAGGGTCGGAGAGCGTGGCAGGCGTGGCACTTTCTCGACACCAGGGGGGGTGCGCAGGGGGTGGTCTCTCACCGCGGCGCCTATGCGAGCCAGGGTCGGAGAGCGTGACGGGCGCGGCATTTTCTCGACACCAGAGAGGGTGCGCAGGGGTGGTCTCTCACCGCGGCGTCTATGCGAGCCAGGGTCGGAGAGTGTGGCAGGCGTGGCACTTTCTCGACACCAGAGGGGGTGCGCAAGGGGGTGGTCTCTCACCGCGGCGTCTATGCGAGCCAGGGTCGGGGAGCGTGGCAAGCGTGGCACTTTCTCGACATCAGGGGGGTGCGCAGGGGTGGTCTCTCACCGCGGCGTCTATGCGTGCCAGGGTCGGAAAGCGTGGCAGGCTTGGCACTTTCTCGACACCAGGGGGGGTGCGCAGGGGGTGGTCTCTCACCGCGGCGTCTATGCGTGCCAGGGTCGGAGAGCGTGGCAGGCGTGGCACTTCCTCGACACCAGAGAGGGTGCGCAGGGGGTGGTCTCTCACCGCGGCGTTATGCGTGCCAGGGTCGGAGAGCGTGGCAGGCGTGGCACTTTTCTCGACACCAGAGGGGGTGCGCAGGGGTGGTCTCTCACCGCGGCGTCTATGCGTGCCAGGGTCGGAGAGCGTGGCAGGCGTGGCACTTTCTCGACACCAGAGAGGGTGCGCAGGGGGTGGTCTCTCACCGCGGCGTCTATGCGTGCCAGGGTCGGAGAGCGTGGCAGGCGTGGCACTTTCTCGACACCAGGGGGGGTGCGCAGGGGGTGGTCTCTCACCGCGGCGTCTATGCGTGCCAGGGTCGGAGAGCGTGGCAGGCGTGGCACTTTCTCGACACCAGGGGGGGTGCGCAGGGGGTGGTCTCTCACCGCGGCGTCTATGCGTGCCAGGGTCGGAGAGCGTGGCAGGCGTGGCACTTTCTCGACACCAGAGGAGGTGCGCAGGGGGTGCTCTCCCTATGCGTGCCAGGCATTGCAGGCGTGGCATTTTCTCAACACCAGAGGGGGTGCGCAGGGGGTGGTCTCCCTATGCGTGCCAGGGTCGTCCAGGCATAGCCTCTAGTGCGGGATTGCGTACTACCTTTCGTATCCAAGTGCCAGGCGACGCCGGATATGACCGTCACAGATGACTCCTCAACCCCTCCTCTCCCCCCCCACACGTCCTTCCCCTCCATTCAACGACCACAGGGGGCACCTGAGAGCATGACGGCGGTGGTAGTGGTAGCGCGGTTCACACAAGACATAAAATCAGTATGTGGGGTTCCTCGGTAGCGTAATTGTATTGTGGACACCGCACGGTGACGAGCTGACCCTTTGGCATGAGCTTTGTTTCTATATCATGAGCCCCAGGCGGTCGTTCATTGCGCCGCTCCGCGGGAGCACGACGCTCGACAGCCTCGATTACTCGCGCAGGTCCACCTTCCTGCTCAAGGAGGAGGAGGCCGACATGATCCAGGACCTTTCCTACCGCCTTGCTGGCTGGCAGGGGTAGCCCGTGTGCCCAAGCCACCGGGCGCTGTCAGACCTCCTGCCTCTGCCCTGCCCCTGTCAACGTCGGCCGCTGCCTGCTTCCGTCCTCGCCCTTGCCGTGGTCTGCGCGTGCTCGTCAGCACCCCGTGTGCTGGTCCCTGTCCCCCGCAGACTGGGGGCCCTTCGGTGCGGACGCATCCTCTTTCCTAGGCCACCCGTTGCACCGCGAAGCTAGTCTTAAGTCGGGCCTGTCCCCTTACAGGGGTATTTTCGACGAAAAATAAAAATACCCCAAAAATAATAAAAAAATAGCCCAAAAATAGTCACGGGATTATTTTTAGAGTACTTGTCTTACCTTTTTGGTGCATTTTTGGGGTATTCTTTATTTTTCGTCGAAAATCCCCCTGTGGGGGCACAGGCCCGACATAACGCTAGTCGCGCCTCGCGCGCCGCGGCCTGGGCCGGAGCGGCTGCCCTTCTCCACGAGAGGGCGGCGCGAGGGCGCGAGGATGCGCGAAGCTGCCCGCGGGTCGCGCAGGGCGGGGCGCGAGGCGTGAGAGCGGGTGGCCCAGCTCCGCGAGGCCCTCCCTCTCCCTCCTCCTCCTCCTCCTCCTCCTCCTCCTCCTCCTCATCCTCCTCCTCCTCCTCCTCCTCCTCCTCCTCCTCCTCCTCCTCCTCCTCCTCCTCCTCCCTCTCTCCCCTCTTCCTCCTCTCCCCCTCTCCTCTCTCCCTCCTCCTCCTCCTCCTCCTCCTCCTCCTCCCCTCCTCCTCCTCCTCCTCCTCCTCCTCCTCCTCCTCCTAGTCCTCCTCCTCCTCCTCCTCCTCCTCCTCGGGGGGGCGGCCTCGGCGCGTGGAATCCTCTTGCTTCCTCGCTCGCGCGCGCGCGCGTCGTCGGAGCGGGCACGCCGGGCACTGCCGCAGCACGCAGGGCGCGTGCCGTGCTGGCCGGGCGGGGGGTGGGCCCCTTGCTCTGCGGCGAGCGAGGGGGGAGGAGCGAGGAGGAGGAGGAGGAGAATCTCTCAGAGGGCGGTGCGACTTCTCAGACGCCCTCGCGAATTCCGAGGAAGACCGACAAAAAACACGTCGCAGAAGGCTGGGGCACTTCCTGCTGAGCAGGGCCGCCCCTTCTCGCTTCCCCACCGGGCTCGCCGCCGGCCTGCAGTTCTGCCTGTCGCTGCGCCCCAAGGGCCGTGGCGGGCCCCCCCTCCCAGCAGCGCGCCGACGGCGAGGGCGTGGCCCCAGCGCGCGGGGTGGCCTTGCATCTCCCCGGCTTGAAGCCCTGAGGAGGCGGAGGAGCGCAGGCGGGGTGGAGGGGGAGGAGGAGGAGGAGGACCAGTAGGCGGCGGCCATCTGGCGCGGGCGCGCTGGCGAGGTCGCGGTCTCGGACATATCCATAGTGTCCGCCTGGCGGTGGGCCCGCACATGGACTTGGAGTACGGGGAGTATGCAAGGGAGGACTCCGCAGGGGGCTGCCCCCTCAGGGATGGGAGAAGAAGAAGAAGGAGGACCAGTGCAAACCCAAGAGTCATCAACGATGCTGGAATCAACCCTCCCACTGAGCTCCCTCGCCGTAGGCCTTGACAACAGCTCATACCCACTGGAAGAACTGCCTCGTTGGAAGACAGCCGCTTAAAGACCCTGAAGCATGGCAGAACATCCTTCTCGGGTTTCCATCGCCACGGATCAACCTGACTGTTTCGTCTTGACGATCCTCAGTCGTGCCAGAAAGGCGTTTATGGGACTTCACCACCGCGACTCAACGTAAGTGTTGCGCCCCCATCATCTGGAATCCTTCCAAAACATCATGTTTGGTACGTTGACCATAGGAATCCGTGAATGTTTGAAAACGAATGTGCGCGGCGCTCTGGCGAGAGCCACAGTTTGAACAGGAACCGCCCTCAATCCGTGAAGCTCTGGCAATTTTTTGAACCGAATGCACGTGGCGCTCAGGCGAGAGCCACATTTTGAAAGCGACCCGTTTTCAATCCGTGAAGTTTTTGCAGATTTTACGAACGAAGGAATGTGCGCGGCGCTACGGCGAGAGCCACATGTTGAAAAGCACCCGCCCTCAATCCGTGAAACTCTTGCACAGTTTCAAAACGAATGTGCGCGGCGCTCAGGCGAGAACCAAAGTTTGAAAACGACCCGCCCTCAATCCATGAAGCTCTTGCACATTTCTAAAGCGAATGCGCGGCGCTAAGGCGAGAGGTCGCCGCCGTAGGGTCCGTAGCCTCGTCGCGGGTGGCTCTTCTCTCCCGGCCCCTGGCCTGGCCTGTCTGCTTGCGGTCGTTGCTTTCCCTCCTCCTTGTACTGATCATCCTCCTCCTCCCCCTCCTCCTCCTCCTCTTCCCATTCCTGCTGCTCCCTGCCTGCTGCCCTCTGTTTGTCCCCCTCCCGCCTGCCCTCGTCCCGCCGGCCCCGGCCCACCGCCTGCGCGCTCGTCGTCGCCTGCCTGCTTCTCCCCTCCTCTCTCACCCCCTCTCCGGGCGGCACGGCCTGCCCGGGGCCGACGCTGCGAAGCCGCGCGGGGCCATCCGTGCCAAGGGGGGCACTCTCCCCCCATAGCCAGAGCGGGAGCAGGCCGCGCATGTGTGTACAGGTTTTTGGCGCCGCTCGGACGTGCGCTGGTCTGTCGAATGTTTCCCACGCCGTTTGTGAAACTGCTGCCAATGTTTTAGTAGCTTCAGGGTCATGAATGGTGGGGAAGTCTCAGGCGAAACACCCGGCCCGCCCTAAAAAATTGGCGGGCTGGGTGCGACAGAAGGAGGAGGAGCAGGAGGAGGAGGAGGAGGAGGAGGAGGAGGAGGAGGAGGAGAGAGGCGGAGGACGAGGAGGAGAGGAGGAGTGCGAAGGAGGAGGAGGGAGCAGGAGGAGTGAGGAGGGGAGGAGGAGGGGAGAGGTCGGAGGAGGGAGAGGGCGATAAGGAGGTGGAGGAGGAGGAGGAGGAGGAGGAGACGGAGAAGGATGAGGAGGAGGTAGGAAGACGCCGAGGAAGAGGAGGCGGAGATGAGGAGAGGAGGGAGGAGAGAGGGAGGAGAGGAGGGTGTGGAGGAGGGAGGAGGAGGAGGAGGAGGAGGAGGAAGGAGGAGGAGGAGGAGGAGGAGGAAGGAGCCTGAGGAGGAGGAGGCGGAGGAGGAGGAGGAGTAGGAGGAGGCGGGGGAGCTTGCCTTCCGCAACGCAAGACGGAGCGCCAGCTGCTGGAGAGAAGCTGCTGGATATCGGGGCGTGGTCGTGTGCGAGACCATCTACCCGGCGTGACCCGCTCCCGCGGCCTGCACGTGTGCCCCCCGAGCTCGGCTTCCCTGTCTATGGAACGTCCCTTCCTACCCACACCACCAGAGCCCAACCAGCGCCCTACCCGACGCTCTGCCCGACTCCCTGCTCGACGCCCTACCTGCAGCCCAGCCTGACGGCATGCACGGCACCCGCTCCAACGCCTGCACCAACACCGGCGCTTGTACCAACGCCACGAAGTACGCGGCATCAGCGCCTGACCTCCACTTCAACCGACGACATAGTGACATCGTCGACGCCAATATCCACGTTGGCACATTAGCTGGCACCAAGGTCAGCGCCCACACCAGTACTATCGCCGGCACCGGCGACAGCACCAGCGACTGCGCCTACGCTGACCTCAACGTCTGCTCCAAAATACATCGACTCTTGTGCATGCACCGACGCCTGCACCCGCACCTTCGCCTACGGTGGCAACACGCCTGCGCCTTCGCCGACGTCCATCGTATGACGGATAGCAGCAGCCCGAGGCTGAGCGCCACGATCGGTTCCAGCAGCACAGCGCTGAACATGTTGGGGCGGTTATGCGGGTATGGATTCATTGCCATGCCCGTTCGAAGCAGCACGACGGATGTTGTGCTAATACGACGAGTACCGCGAGGACGAGGACCACGAGCACCACGACTAGCTCCTTAAGCAGCACGGCCACCTCTTTCTCGTCCAGAAGCGGAGGAGACGAGGGGCGAGGGGGAGGGGACATTTGCCCCGGACTCGGTACACCCTGGCATGGAGCACCCGGCTTGCGCGGACAAATCCTGCCCCCCCTCCTGACCTTCGCGAGCCGCTCGGCATGTCTCGTCCGCCAATGAGAATGCCCAGGAAAACAATGATGGACCACGATCTTGACACCCACCGGGAAGCCGCAAGACGAACGCCATCGATCCCGCGTCGAGCAGCTCCACATCATCAGCACCAGCACCGACTCCGACACCATCACCGATACCAGCACCGATTCCAACATCGACCACGGTCGAGAAGCTGCGTCTGCAGTGTCCATGCCAGCAACGACTATATGGTGCCGACGCCGACGCGGACACCAACGTTGACGCCAGTACCGACTTCGTGCGACGACTACCTCGTCGTCGGGCAGCGCCTCGGACACCAGCTGTATGTCACGATTGCCTAGTTCGACTTCGGCTTTGGCTGCAGCTGTGCTCTTCCTCAGTGTTCGACTCCAGCTCCGACTCCACCTCCGACGCCATGCGGCGAGCAACACACACACACACATTTGCGCAGCAACTCGGGTACCAGCTTCGCGATGCCACAAATTACTATGAATTTGGCCGCTCACGGGTTACCTGCAGCATGAGCGGCCCGATGGGTGCAGGGGATTCCTTCAGGGGGAAGCACGACGGGTGCCAGCGGCAAGACGATAAGCACAACGATGGGCACCAGCAGCACGACCGCATCACCTACCAGTGAGTGGCATGGGGGGGCCACTCCCGCGTGTACCACATAGACGTTGAGCACTACGGAGTCGAGACGGAGTCAAACACCATGTCGTCATCTACTGGATGTTCCATGGTCTGGTGGTGTTTTACGGGGTCGTGACAGGGCCACTCACATGGACGCCTTGATCATGTCCATCGGCCTCGCCCTCTGGGGCCAGCCGCAGCTGCCTTCTCCGTCGCGCCTGCCACCTGGCGGCTGCCGCCAGGGCCCGGGGGGCGGTCTAGGCAGCTGTCTCTCTTT